GCGGGGCAGCACCAGCGCTGCCCAGGGCCCCTGCGGCCAGCCCGGGGGCACCGGGCAGGGCGGCGGGGGCCAGAGAGCGGCGGGGCCCGGGCGGAGCTCGGGGAGCTGCGGGGGCTCGGCGGGGCCCGGGGCGGTCCCCGAGCGCGGCGGGGCCCGGAGAGCGGCGGGGCCCGGGGCGGTCCCCGGGGGCGGCGGGGCCCGGAGAGCGGCGGGGCCCGGGGCGGTCCCCGGGGGCGGCGGGGGCGATGCGGGCGGGCGGCGGCGGCGGCGGCGGTGGTGGTAATTTCCCCCCGGGTACATGTCCTGGAAAGCGGGGTCCAGCACCCACTCGCCGGCGCGGCCGTGGCGGCAGGGCAGCCGTCGGAAGCAAGGGTTGAGGCTGAGGTTGTGGCGGACGCTGTTCTGCCACTGGCGGCCGGGGCCGCGGTAGAAGGGGAAGCGCTCCGCGATGTAGGCGTAGATGCCGCTCAGGGGCAGCCGCTGCCCGGGGCTGGCCCGGATGGCCATGGTGATCAGCGCAACGAACGAGTAGGGAGGGCGCCGCGGCCACCCCGCCGTGCCTGCCTCGGTGCCTGCCTCGGTGCCCGGCTCCGTGCCCGGCTCGGTGCCCCGCTCGATGCTGAGCTCCGTGCCCCGCTCGGTGCCCGGCTCGATGCCCGGCTCGGTGCCCGCCGCCCGCCGCTCGCCGGGGTCGGTCTCGGCCATGGCCCCGCGCTCCGCTCCCCCAGCCCCGCAGCCCCTTCTAAAGCCTCTCTCCGCCACCCCCGGCCCAGCCCAGTCTGGTCAGTTCGCGGTCGCCGCCGGGTCAGGACGGGGCACGGCTCGGGGCAAAGCTCAGCGCTGGGAGCCGGTCCCTGCCAGCAAAGGCGGCGGAATCGCCATCGTTCCCTACCCCCGGCGGCATCAGCTGCACACCCGCCACGTCCAGGGGCAAACACAGCCCCGAGCCCCGCCGGGACCTGGCCCCGGGGCCGCCCCGGTCCTGCCGGTACCGGAGGGTGGTGGAGAAGCTGCTCCACTGCAGCAACGTGGATTCTACCGGGGTCACACCTGTGCAAGCACTGCGAGTCGTTACATCCTTCAAAACACACCTGTCTGCAGAATTAGTAGCGCACTATTGCCAGTCATTTAATTAAAATACATCCTATTTTAAAAAATGTTGATCAGCTCATGCCACCTGCCCCCTAATTTACATTACAAAATAAAACCATAATTGAAAGACCATACAGTAATACATAAACACCCTCAGTCATGATTTCATGAAAAAAGAAACCACTTAAATGCCTAATGAACGCAGAAGTACGGTGTGCACAGAGCTGGACCACTCACACTAAGGTGAAAACTTATCCGGTTTTATTTTTTAAAGAAAAATATTCCTCTTTAAACACAAAGCATAAACTAAAAACCTCCGAGGAACAGCTTCTCCTTCCTTGGAGCATGTTTAACTAAACTGTACAGTGACAGAGCTCCCCAAAGAACACACACATATAACATACAGTCTTTCTTTCACAGGAAATAAGGTTTAGGACTTGAAATTGTTCTCCTCACCCTCTTTAGATACCCATTCAATCCAAAAATACTCAGTACCTTACTCCTGCCCCAGAACACAGTGATGATAATTTCTGGATGCAACATATATCTAAAAAAAAAAAAAAAAAATTGGGCCAAATTGGCCCATTCTAGCCTTTTAACAAATGTCTGTGAGAGAGGTTAAGACCATTGTTATTTCCAGGAATGGTGCTTGGAAGAAAAATATAGCAGCATCCACAGGCAACAGAAGCCCTTCAGTCCAGCTGCCCTGTTACAAGGACCCCAGCCAGTCCAGCAGGGATTTGCAGATGTTCCCAGCACCCAGGAAGAGGGAGTGGGAATCAAACATTCACAGGCCTCATCTGTTATCTGTTGCTTGAACAAATAGCCTAAAATTCAGTGAATCTGGCCTACATATGCCAGCAATGAGTTTTCCCCCCCCCAGTGACAAATTTAACGTCTAAGATTTTATGTTAAAAGGTATGATAAACTTCAGAAACCAGCAACTTGTTCTACCCACTCCCTCTATCCCATCAAATAGATATGTGCATAAAATTCCACATCTGCCAAACTCCCCAGACTGCGGAACTGGAACCAGACTCCAAAATACAAATTCTTTCTAATTCAGAACAGCAAAATCATCTAAAGTATCTGCAAGGTCTCAGAACATGCCTAACAAGCCCATAGCCAAAGAAGAAGTACCTGGACATTTTCAATGGAAAGTAGGAAATGGAAAAGGTCTGTAAATTAATCTCATTTATGCTCGACTTCATCATTAATTGTTGGTATTATTAAGTCATGTTCAGATCTTTATCAGGCCATTTTGTAAAGATCTTTCCCACTCCATACACTCCAACAGTTTTTGCAATAGGAAAAGTATTAGAAAAATAAAATCTCCCCCCTGAACAACACTGTATGAAGATCAACATCATCAGTCACAGATATTTTTACAGGGGACCAGATAAACTTCTGCTTCCTCCAAACCAGCTTTGTACAGAAAAGAGCAGCAAGATAGACACAGTATCTACGAGCTAGATTAAGGCCAACAATATAAAGACAAACATGGGCTCAGATCTTTTGAAATGAAGAAACCTTGCAAATGTTTTTGTACATCTGCATGCACACACTCACACACACACTCACACTCACACGCTCGTGTGTTCCTCAGGCAAAGGCTTCACAACCGTGAGAGCACCACGGGAGAGAGTTCTAGCACCAGAATGAAAAACTTCCCTCTGCAGTAATAAACCCCAAAGTCTCTCTATTGCTTTGGACAAGGTCACCAAGCCCCCTCCCAAGAGCAGTTTGAGTGAGCAGCTCAGAGGTGCAGTTACGGTGTTCCTGCTCCGAGTGTGGCTCTGGAGATGCTGCAGCTCCTGGGCTGGGGAGAGGAGGACAAGGTTGGCATTGCAGTCTGGTCCAGTGTGGTGGTGAAACTCAGCGCAGGCTGGCAGGTGGAAGCAGAGGTTTGCATACACAAAGTCACAGTGCACTTCTGCTGGGTGATAAGGACAAGCACAGCCACAGCATCTTCTGGCAGCTTGTCTGGGTAGGACAAGGACCCGCGAATGGCACGACACACACTGCACCAGAACATCAGGAAACCCAGAGAGCAGAGGCTGAAAGAGGAGCTTGGCAGCTGCTCTGCCATCATCCTGCCTGTACACATGCTCGGGTGAGCATGCAAAGTCTATAAAAGGGACAAAAATCTCTTTACAACAAGGTTATGGGTCCGGTTTGGCTACGAGGAACAATTCATGCAAGTTACAACAGAACTCATCATCCATCTGCAGCACAGCTTTGTGCTGCAGGGCTCTCCTGGCTCTGGGCCTGTGTCCAGGAGGTGCTGGCTGTGCAGGGCTGCACAGCTCTCTGAGGAGGCTGAGGGAGATGCAGGGTCAGGAGTGATCCTTCCTCAGCCCCTTGGATCAGCACGTGTGTGTGCAGGCCTGGCCTCCCCTGCAGGCACAGCAGGGACCAGTCTCATCCACGGGGAGGGCAGCAGCAGCAGCTGGAAGTGGGCAGCTCAAACCATGCAGGGAGATTTGGAAAACACAGAGACACTCAGTTTTTCAGTGCTTGAATCAGCAGCAGCAAAGCCCCATTTATGCTGTCACATGCACGCTGGTCAGTCTGGCTGGGGCTCCCATGGGCTACCAAGTGAGGCTGGGGAGGAACTCAACTAAAACATGCAACAAAATAAAAACCAGAGTGAAAGAAAGGGTGATCATCACTGCCAGGTGGGGCTCGGGTTCAGAGCAGAGAATGGTCAGCAGCAGATACACCTTGCTCTGTGCACATGCAGGAACACAAGAGAGGAACAACAGCGAACTGGAAGGGAGGGAAAGACACAGAATTCACCAATTCAGGATGCAAACACAGGGCAGTGGGGTGGGACAGGGAAATTTGAGGTAAAGGAGTCCAAAGGAAGAGACAACAGAAAAACTCTTAATAGATCCGAGTCCTGCCTCAGGAAATACAGAGCTAATGCCAGTCAACTCTCTTCTCACCAGGTGTTTTTCATATACTGGTAAATCTCTCTGCACTTGGTTTTTGGGAACCAAAACATCAAGATCAGGATTTCTTTTTTTTCCCTAAGATGCATTAAATGATTCTGAGTGTTCAGAACAATATTCTAAATGGCCCCTGAATTCTAAGCAATGCTGAAGACTTAGCCAAAAGGAGAAATACCCAAATTACAAACTGCTTTTGAAAATCTACTATTTTCCTTGGGCTAGAAAAGAAGAATCCATCCAGAAGGCTGAATTGTCCAGAAGCAGGTTTGGCATTTCTCACTGAGAGCACCTGGGCATTTTACTAAGAAATATCTTAAACAGTTACTTAGCAAACCCCAACATCAGACTGAGGTGTCAGGTTTCTGGATAGATGTATACAATCAGACAGCTCCTCACCTACCCCTAACAGGACAGATTTGTGCGATTTACAGCAAGAACAGGCTCTGCCACTCACTGCTTCAGTGAAAACTCCAGCAGAGCTGAGAGCTGAAGCCCTTTGTGGTGCAAATCACACCGGGGTCCTTTCTTTTTGCCACTTCAGAGTATCACAGTTAATGCCTGCTGGGATCCCAGGCTCTGATGCAGCCAGCACAGGGTGTCTGAGAACCAGCATGGCCACAAGGAGCTGGTGAAAGTGGCCTCAGGGCCAGGTCCAGCTGGAAGCACAAGGACATCTAAGATGCAAGAACATGACAGAGCAGCCAAGGTCACCCATGTGCTTAGGCAAGCTTAAGGCAACTAAAGAAAGTTCACTGACAATTTAGAGGAGAATGCCAGAGAGAAGGGAGAAGAGGAACCACTGAGCAGAGCTTGGGGATGCTGCTAGAGTAGCCAAAGCCCAGCACCAGCTACCAAGCCATCCCTCTTCTTCAGCTCATTTGCTCTAATTCTCCCTGTTTTACCAGCACCATCAGCATGAGGTCAATATGTCAGGAAGAAGAGCTGGGGTAGGTTCCTAAAAACGCAGCTCACACATTGTCAGGCTTGTGTCTCAGGTCAGTTCTTCTGAAAGGAAGTGTGTGGGCCATTGGACTGGCCTCCTGCTTTGAGCTGGAGCTGGGAATGCTGCCTGCCACCTCCAGGGACACTCCTGGGATGTGTTCTACCTGGAAGGGATGGCAGCAGCTGCCCAGGTTCCTTTTCATGCCAGTTGAGTGTACAGCAGTTTTTTAAAGAACAGCATGCACCGGTGGCATGGCCTTGGCCATGAAGCCGTGGTTGGGTTGCTCTCATCTCCTCAGGACCAGGTGGAACCAGAGAGACAGGGAGGGTGGGCAGCAGTCAGCGCAGGCTCCTGTAGACATAGGCTGATGTGAAGACAGCATTGAGGGTCAGGCTCACGGCCAGCAGGCCCCGGAGGGCTGAGGTCCCAAAGCGGCCTAGGCAGAGGGGAGAACACAGAGAAAAAAGGGAATTGTAGAAAGAGATGTTAAACAACTGGTAAGTGAAAGTGAACATGTGTTGTACTGCTTCTCTCTTGCCAGTGTTTCAGCACAAGCAGAAGTTGCTGAAGCACTTTTCCTGTCAGGAAAGACTCCACTGCTCTCTTCTGGCTCTATTTTCATCTCATCTCATGCTCCTGACACCTGCATCCCCGTCCCTGTTCTTCTGTGTTGGTTTAGCACTTTGTCCGTGCTCTTCAGACAGTCCAAAGAACAGGAATAGCTTTGTTAAGATCTTAGAAGGCAGGGGGTCCATTTTGCAACTACTTATTAATTTGGTTTCCAGGAAAGATCTCAGCTACCCTCACAGAAATGCTCACATGCGCACGAAGCAGTCACCAGACTTGCACTCACCTCTCCAGCCTGCCAAATCTTCCCCTTTGGTAGTTGTGTCCACCACACAGGTAGATGAGTGTGACGAGTGATCCTCCTTTTTGATGGAATTATCACTGCAAATACTCCCCCCTTCCACAGCAGTTCTCATATCTGCGAGGAGAAAAAGACAAGAAAATTCACCACGTGGGTTTCTCCTGCAGGCTCCCCAGGCTGTGGCCTGGATGCTGTGCCTGGGAGCAGCTCCATCCCACGGATGGGATGCAGGAGGGAGGGCAGCGCTGCCGTACCGGGCACGCCGCGCTCGGCGAGGCTCCCGCGGGGGCAGCCGGGCAGCTCGGGGCCGAAGGCGTTGCTGTCGGGCTGCGTGTGCTCCTCGGAGCCGCTGGGGAACAGCAGCAGCTTCTGCCCCTGCAGGTTGAGGCGGGCGGGGCTGATGAGCGGGCGGCGGAGGCGCAGCGAGCCCGAGCTGGAGGTGACCGAGCCGGCGACCGAGGGCGCCGGGGACGGCAGGCGGGACGGGGCTCGGCTGCCCGCCAGCAGCGACAGCGGGTCTGCAACGCAAACACCCGCGTGAGTTACAGAGCCTCTGAACAGACACAGACAGAGCTCGCACAGAATGTTAAAAGCTGCGAGAAACTTCAAAGAATTCAAAATTATTATCCTCTCTTTCTGTAACCATTGTTTAGAGATACGGTTCTCCAGAGTGTGCTATTCATAGTTCACCAACAGTGTGAGAAAACATTCCTAAAAGCCAATCAAGTCTTAAGTCCGCCATTGTTTCCATAAAAACTGTAGATTTTAATAATAAAGTGTCTTTTTCATACCTTCTAATGACAGAGTCTCTGTATCACCTTTAGCTGTCCCCAATACCCCTTTGGTAATAACACCCCATGGACAAAACCACCAGGTTATCATCCCACTGCAACAGGCACAGTTCTCTTTAACAGTACTACAAGGAAAAGGAACTGGAGTTGCAAATTTTCACCAATGTGTCTTGTACTAAAATTCGTTATTTATTTGAGTCCCCACACTGCAAAACACAGAGAAACCCCACAAGTACTTTAGTACACTCAGGAGTGACTCAGGAATCAGGTTATCAGGAGCCTGGTGAGCTTTGTCTTAGCTCAGCTGAGTCCATCCAGGAGAGCCTGCACAATCCATTTTGCAGGGAATGAACTGCACTGGCACATCCCTCAGAGCTGCTGAGGAGGTGCACTGGGAGCAGGAGGTTTGCATGGCCTGGGGTGCGACAGCAGCACAAACAGCCCAGGGATCTGTCTGGGCCACAAGGGCAGCAGACAGGTCATGGAGCAGCCAAACCAGCAACTGCTGCACTCTGCTGGGAAAGCTGCAAAAGAGCTGCCCTGGAAGCAGCCGAATTCTCCTGTCCAAGCAGGCTCAACTCTGCTCTAATGGGCAAAGGGCTCCTTGTTTTGTCTCACTGATGCCACCCAGGGAGAGCATCCAACACATATAGCACCTGGCTTTAACGCCATCCCAGTTCTAGCTGGGGCTCTCCCGGCAGCATTTCTAGCAGCAAAATGGACATTTTCACTGGAATGCGAGCAGGGAGGAAAGAATTCAACCAGACCACGTGTTTCAACCCACTCAGTGCAAATCCTGCACAGATTGTTGCTCTGGAAGGCCTGGAGCAGTACCTGATGTAGGGGACTCCTTGGAGTAGGATGACTGCGAGGCCGGCCGGCTTCCACTGAACAAGTAGCCAGAATCTAAAAGCAAAACCAAAACAATTTGAACCCAGCTGCCTCAGCTGCTGCCAAACCCCAAACCCTAACTAATGCTGCACAGTGCTCTGTGCCACAGGAGCCATCCCTGAACAGGACTATAATGCGTGGATCCAGTGCCATTCCCTCTGGGACAGCGCCTGCACACTCCCTGGATCCTTCCCAGCCCAATTCCTCCTGCCCCACTCCCTGTTGCACAGCCCCTGCACACTCCCTGGATCCCTCCCAGTCCAATTCCTCCAGGATTTGCAGCCCCTCTCCCCCAGGCCAGCCCCTGCACACTCCCTGGATCCCCCAGCCCAATTCCCCCAGGATTTGCAGCCCCAGTGCCCTGGGCCAGCCCTGCCCTCACCCGGATTCCTCCCAGCCCAATTCCTCCTGCCCCACTCCCTGTTGCACAGCCCCTGCCCTCACCTGGATCCCTCCCAGTCCAATTCCCCCAGGATTTGCAGCCCCAGTGCCCTCACCTGCCCGTGCCAGCGAGGGGATGGTGCCCAGCGAGAGCGCCCTGTTGAGGCGGCCGGGCAGGGAGGACGAGCCCGTTCTGCGCGGGGACCTGAAGAGCTGCTGGTTTGTCAGGTGCAGGATGCTGGGTGGAGTTGGGACAAACAGAGACGTGGCAGGTGAAGGGAAGGCTGTGCCAGGGCTGCTGGGAAAGACAGTAATGGAGTCCCCAGAGAGGTACCTGCAAAGGACACGCATGACAGACACTTAGCAAGGAGAAATCCCAGCAACTGCCTCTCTTGAGCTTGCAGAACATTTGTTTTGTTACCAGGTTTGGACTAACTTTTCAGTGCAGGAGTGCTGAAGTTTATGGGAATGTTCCTACACTTTGGGGAAAAAAAGAACTGCCCGACCTTACTTGAATTATTGTGCACCAACCTGTCCCACAATACAGGGTGGAACAGTTTAGGAATGCCAGTGACAATACCCGGGATGAGAAAATTACCCAGAGAATGCTTTAAGAAGTCCAGATGTTAAAATACAGGAATTTTGTATTATTTTTAACAATTGAATGAAAATACATGAAAGGAAGTTTAGAATATGAACCAGAATCTCTGTTCCCCTGAAAGATTTTTTTAGTTAGAAACACATAATAGAACTGTCAAATAAATCATGATGAAGAACTGAGTATGAAGTGCACGTGTTTTTAAATGGAGATATCTGACTTTGCAGATACAATATTTGGAGGCTTAATCTCACTTCTGATGGAAACAGAGACAGATGAGAGCAGCAATGTGGTTACATGGCTTTTCTTCTGTCAGAGGAAAGCCAGGAGTAAAATCAGAGGGTGAAGAAAATCTCAGCCTTGCACTGTGGGGTGATTTATGCACGTGTCATTCTGTCCTGGAGATAAAAGAGGTGGTGCAGCAATATTATGCCTTGCTAACTCTAGAGCGAAGATTACAATTTGAAGTATCTTATAAACCACTTATCTGCTAGTAGGAGGCAGCCATCACCAATCCTGGCCAGCTTAATGAGGCTGCACACGTGAGCCAAGCAGGGTGCTGGTGCAGGACATGCCTCCAACAGCAGCCAGGGACGTGCTGGTCTGGCAGCCCCAATGGCCCAACCTCTCCAGGATGCAGAGGAGCTGCAAAGGGGCTCCTGCTCTGCACCCACAGGGAGCCTCAGAGCACCCCCACACACACCTACCCCACCACACACACAGATGGATGTGCCCAGCTCAGATTTGTAAGAGGAAATGAATGGGAAAGGGAATTAGAAGTGCAGCTCAGGACTGATATGAATCATAGGAGAAAGAGTGATACCTACCCCTCACTGTGCCATGGAGGGCCAAACCAGAGCATCACCTGTGAGCAACATGGCTCTTCTGTCCTAACTTTGCACCTTCTGTGTCTTTGGGCCAAAGGATCCAACTTTACACAGCTCCTTGGTGCAGCAGAAAACAGCTTAACTGGTTTATTGGCTTTTGGAAGTCTTTCATTTAATGGGCTGGAAGCTAATCCAGTAATTTATCACTCATAGCCACAGTCCTGGGACTGTAACTGTTTTGGATCAGGCTTCCAATGGCTCTGCTGCTCAACAGCCCCACTGCTCAACCTCACCCAGTCAGGGCAGCCAGATCCTCAGGGCAGTGAAGAATCATTTGTCTTGAACCATCCAGAAAAGGAATTAGCAAAGAGGAGCTGAAGGATTTTAAGTATAGCTTATTAATGCCTTAGGACTGAATTCTGACCAAAGTGTGTCCTAAACATTGATCTGTTCTAACAAATTCCTGCTAAGTGTGCAAAATCCTATTCCTGTTCTCTGCAGTCTTTAGTGTTTGCCACTGCCATGTCAAGAGGGCTCAATGCTGCTAAAAGCTCTCATGGGAATGTGCTTCAAGCCTGAGAATGGGCAGCTGAACTAAAACTTCTTCCAGAAGCAGATAAAAAAAAGGTGAGGAGATCAAGAGGATCAAAAAGCAGGAAGGAGCCCCATCACAGCCCTGGGATGGAGCACTGCAGCTGTGCCTTTGCTCCAAGCCATTTGTCTCATGGTAATAGTGGCTCTGGCAACTATTAAAAAGCAACATAAAAAAAAAAAGAAGGAAAAAAAAAGGCTCTGGAGTCAGATAGTTTGTGGAAATAGTCAAGGCCCGGAAGCCGTTTATTTCAGAACTTGATATTGTGAACATCAAAAGTTGGGTATCTTAATTAGTGTTTACAATGATCACAATGTTACTAGACAGTCGGGCACAACTCTGCTACACAGATACTTTAAAAATAAATAAATAGAAGGTTCAAGAAGGGTCTTACATGGTATGGGACTGTACACGGTCCTGAAGGAACACCTCCTGCCAGGAGAGCCTCCCCACACACCATAGGTGTGTGCCTTTTTAATTCACATTTTACAGAGATGCTGCACCAGCCCTGGGACAGAGACAGACACGGGAGGGCAGGGGCAGGCCAGGCTGCAGATGGACCCACTCCTCTGCCAGATAATTCAGCCCATGAAGAAAGAAGGGGAGATGCAGTCACAGGCAGCTTGGGGGACGTGCCCAGCCCAGCAGCTGGGGAGCCAAGTGTCAGCCAGGGGCTGAAACATTTCCTCTGGACTCAGTGTCCCCTCAGAACTGAGCTACCCATGTGCAGCAGGGACCTCTCTCCCCGGGGTGCAGAACAGGTCCCTGCCACCCCAGGAACAGTCACTGTCCCTGTGCCCTGGCACTGCTCCAATGCACCTCCCCACTCAGGGCACGGCCTCCTGTCAAACCCACAGAACCACGAGTGAAGAGCACTACAGGAATAAAAAACAGGCACAAGGACAGGGGAGAGTAGTGCTAAAATGGGCACAGCTCTCAGACACATTAATATTTTGATATGTGGCTTAGAGAGCTACAAACTTCAGCTGCCAAGAATAAGAATTCCTCTCTCTTGCCTGTTGTCCTGCTTTGGATGAAAAGGGAGGGTTGAATTAGAGCTGCACTAAGACCTTCTAGAGCACAGATGCTTGGCATCAATTGTGCCTTTTTCCCCCCAGCTGGGGCACAAAGTGGGGAGTATATGTGTGTGTATATGCACATCCTATGCCTACACAAACCCAGACTTGCTGGCATGCCAAAAATGTCCAGGGCACCTCCTCCTGCCTGTACACTCAAGAGCTTTGGTCCCAACGAGGCTTTACAGGGGATGACTTCAGGACTGAGTACTGTCCCTTTCCCTGGAGAGCACTGCCGTGGCTCCAAGAGCCAAGTGTCCTTGCAGGTGACAGCACACCTGGAAGGAGCTGGCAGCTGTATGTGACAGCACACAATTTCAACAGCATCTCTGAAAACCAAAGCAAAGCCATATAGCACAGCTCCCTTCACCTTTCACGAGTGCAGTCAGTCTGGAGCAATTATCCGGCTATTAATTATATTAATTTTTATAAGAGCATAAATACTTTGTCCACATTACATCAATACATAATTCCTATAGCGTCTAAGCATGATTATTAGCTTCACATAATTTCAGCACACTTGAAAAATATTCATAAAGCCAAAATAATAAGCCACTACACCATTTTTATATTCCCACATGTCCTCACCCTTTGACACACCCAAGCTCACTAGGGCATGCAAAGCATGGATGTAGGAGAGTTAAGAGAAAGGAAAGAACTGGATATAAACACAGAGTATTGAGAATGGTAAAGGGCCACAAAGGCGTCGGTTTGCATGCACTGATGTCTCTGAGGGCCCCAGGAAGAACAGAAGCAGCAGCAGCAGCAGAGATGCTGACCTGGTTGCTGCCTCTGGGCTCTCCTGCAGAGCCTGCAGAGCTGCTCAGAAATGTTAGCCCAGGTGTCCCCCTTGCCCTGCCACGCTCGGTGGTGGCACAGGAAGGACAGAAGCGCTGGCCTGGCAGACACATGGGCACTGCTGCAGCCGTGTGCCACCAAGCAAAGCAACACAGTGTTGTCCCAAATCTTGCCCAGGAAAAGGCACTTCATGAACCCACACTGGCCCCTCTGTAAGTCTGGCTCTGCTGGGCAGGGTACAAGATTTTGAGCTGGCACATCAGCCATGGCCACTGAGGGCCAGTCAGGCACTTGGGGATGGAGCAGATTTGATGCCAAGGGACACACAAACCCACTAACAATCCCTCAGCACCTCTGCTCTGCTGTTACCGTCCCCTGGTCCAGACACATGGTTAGTATGAAAAACCAGCACCTTGAATTAGGGGCTTTTGGGCTAAAACCCTCTAATATTGTTAAGATATTCACATGCTCTGGCCTGCATGGCTGAGAGAATCCTCAGGCAACAAAGGTGCACCTGGAGACCACCATGTGTTCCTCTGTGGCCTGAAATAAGAGCCCAGCTAAGGGAAAACAAGAAGCTCAAGGCAGTGACCAAGTGGTTCTGGATGATTTTGTGTCAGCTGTGGTTGTTTGTTACCAAGACTTTGTTAGCTCTTATCCCACCCAGCAGAAGGAAATGTGTGACACAAAACAGCACCTCAGCTGCACAGGATATCCCCACTGTGCAGCAAAACACTCATTTTCTCCTGCTGGACTCACTGTGGGGCAAGCAGTCATGCAGTTAGATGATGTACTCAGATACCTACATTTAGATGACATCTCTAACTGCTGAGTGAAAAATGCAAAGCACCTTCCATACAGAACCTATGGCATGGCAGTGTCTGGAACAGCCTATTTGGCTTTGGAATCAGATGTGGCAAGAACAGTCCAGGAAAGGCAGTAGTGGTTTGACTGGTTTTTTTTCCACAGTCAGCAGCAGAATGCTGCTAACTTACAACTTCTCTGCAGGGCTCCTTGTCTGAGACACAACTGGGACGGACTGAATGCTACAGTTTATAAATCAGAACACCTCTGGGCAAAACCCACCCTTCTCCTTTCTTCCCTCACCCCTAAAGATCCATCATCCTCCACCATCAGCAAAAGCATGTGAGACAAGGAGAAAGAAAGGAGCCTGTCAGCATCAGAGTCTCTAAAACACCAAAAATTCAATTGCTGCAAGGTTGGTTTTGAGGCTCTGAGGTTGTTGTTTTTAGAAGCAGCAGCACAGACATGCTGAGGCACCGAGAAGTGGGGAAAATAGGCTGACACCTGAGCAAAAACAAAAGCTTCTTTGGCATTAAATGAACCCCACTTCAATATGTACTCTGTAATTCTGTTTCACCTTTGAAATTTTCCCAATTACAAGCACAAAAGTTCTTCAATTGTAAGTAGTGAACAAAGCACCATAGAGATCAGTTGTACAGCTTGGCCATAAAACAAAGTAGCTTTCTGATGTTCTGACATATAAATTAGTGCAACTAGTAAATATACTTCATTTGTATTAATCTGCATAAAGTGAAGACAAACGGATGTCACTTGCAGTTAACATATCTCCCACATTAAAGGACTTGAAACTCAGTATAGATTTGCACTTGCTGTGCAAACAGAGCTAAAACATTCCTTAACAGGATTATTCAGGCTTCACAGTGTAAATCCTCTCCTTCCCACAGTTCCAGCAACTGCCTGTTCCCAACATTTAGTGTGCATCCTCCCCATCCCATCCCATTGCTGCACAGGGAAAAAGACAACCAGAGAAAGGAACAGGCATGGTAAACCACCAGAACATTTAAGAGCAAAACATCACAAAAGGTGCCTGACCCCAGGGAGCTTGAGGAGGAGTCAAGTTTAAACAGAAAGAAAAAACCAAAGTGCTCCTAAAAAGGGAGAAAACAGATACTTAGAGGAGACAGACGATAGGAAACAGGACACAGTGAAGCTTAACACAGCCTTGGCTTTCAGCTCCTGAATAAAACATCTGGAGAGGCTTCCAGCCATCTTTAGAAGCTGCCACTGAGAGTTTCCTTCCTACTGGGCAAGAGAATTTGGACAGATACATTTCATTCTTGTCAATAAAAGGGCATTGCTGACAGAAATCAGGCATGACATCACCATGACCATTCCCACTGAGTTTGTCCGTTTCTCATACCCCTCCTTTGAACCTTCTCAGTACATCCTTCAAATGTGAGATTCCTCCCATTCCTTGGGCACATCTCACAGGAGAACACCAAGAGGAACTTGCAATCCAAATTGTACAGGTAAGTGCAGAAGACAATCACAGATAAAAGTCTTTTCTTACATGTACTTTATGAGGAAAATTTGGAAGTCCTGAAGCAGGAAGGGAGGAATTAAAAAAAAGTCCAGATGCCTTATTTCACTTAATGGCCATAATAGCTCAAGGTTTTCCATGCCTGTGAGCTGGAAGACAAATGTTTTGGGTCAGGACTAATGAGTGATGGGATGATGGAACCAGACTTTGCAGGGGCTGGATTCCTCTTGTGGGTAAGTAAGTAAGTAAACAACCCTCAGCATCATTCACAAGCACCAGAATGGAGCCAGGTTCTCTGAGCTTGGATATTGCAGCTGTCTGAAGGCACCAGAAAAAGATTCCAAAGGAGAGCCCAGGTGGGCACCAGGTCTGTGTGCCACTCCCTTGCTAAGGTACAGGCACACAGCCAGGAGCTGCACCTTCCATGACTCAGCCTGGCTTATTGTTAACGAATTTCAGAGCTTTTGGCAGTGTTACCTTTATGCTTTCACAATGAACAGCAGTTCAAGGAACAGTAGTATGAACAGCTAGAAAATAGCTTTTGTTTCCTTTTAAAAAGCTCCTCTAATTTCACCAGCATCTGCAGCACTCAGTAGTGTCTGCATTTTTCAGCAGGAGTTGCAGATACTTCACAGTGAGAGCTCCACTCTGATTATTTTATCATTTATACACTGGAAGATCACTAGACACAATTAACTTATATCAGACTATTAGGGTGGTGAGTTCCACTGTGCTATTCTGAACAGAAGAAAATAGCAGATGTTCTGTAAAAGTGCTATTTCCTCTTGAAAAACCAAAATCCATATGAGAAACTCAGTAGAGTGCCTTTCAAGCAACCATACAGGATAATCAGACTCTTTTCCTAAGAGGCCCCAACAAGTTAATCCTAAAAAACCCAAACAGCTGGAAGTTCCTTCCTCCCCACACAGTAATGCCCAGCCACCACAGCTTTCAACAGAGGAGTGCCAGGCACCCAACTCCAAGTCACAATTTCCAGACCCTTTTTTCAGCAGTATTAGCACAATGCCAGACTGCAAAAAGAACCCCTGCAAGTAACCCAAAAAAATCCATTGCTGTTGCCATGCAGTCTCACAGCAGAGCTCCCACCCCTTCCTATCTGTGTTCTCAGCAATGAACACTGACTGAGCAGTGGTGTACAATGAAAGCTGACATGGTACTCACAGCATCAGCCTGTCAGTCCCATACTTCTCTTTCTAAGGCTATAGGAGTGGAGGAACAGAGGCATTTTTATCCAGTTGTGCTTGTACACAGATGTTGCTCAGGGAGCAGGTGGGTAAAAAAACCCCAAAGAAAACTGGCACTGAAAGCAACAACCACTGGTAGATCTGAAAATTTTAACCTCAGCTGCATACTTTCAGGTATTAAGACACCCTGAGCTATATGACTTTTTAAAGCACCTTTTTGAATTAATTACTGAAGTTTCAGTCAAAAGCACTTAAGGACACTTCTCCATTTGAAACAGGAGCCAGGAGAAGGGCAGAGCGAGAGGGTGCTGTGATGCTACACAGTGGAAGGCAAGAAGAACCAGGTATGGGCTCTGTGTGGTCCCCTCCTCGCGTGCCTGGGCACCACAGCACGTGTGAACAAGGACTCCAAATCCAGAGGCAAGTTCCCATCAGTTCCAAATTAAAATGACCAGCACCATTAGGAAAGTGAAGGTGGCCCGGGCCCCATGGTGGATCAGGGCAGAGGGTTCCTCTGTGAGTGGCTAAGGATGGAGAGGCAGTGAGAAGAACCAGGAGGACAGGAGGAGCCAGAATCTCTTTGGCTGGAGGAGCAGAATGGGGAGAAGGCTGCATTTATGGAGCAGTCTGTGAGGCAGCTGCTGGAAGAACTGACTTTGGGGAAGCTGGATATTTGTACTGCTGACGTAGGATGCAGGAGGAAGGGAGAATGGAGGCAGCACGAGTAGCTTCCATGGCTAGCAGCGGAAATGCTAGCACAGTGGTAAGCAAGGATGGGGAAAAAAATTATATATATATATATACACACATATGTGTGTGTGCATATATAAATATATATATTTTAAAAAAAAAAGGAAGAAGAGATCTTCACTGCTTATCTAACTTTAAAAAAAGAGACACAGAGGAAAGGAAAATAACAAGAGGAGAGAGAAGCACCAGTCGCAAAGAGTTCACAAGGGTTTTTTCCTGCTTCCCCCAGCGTCACTGCTCTGGCTCTGACCTTCGGGGCCGGGGTCTCCGCTGGCCCGTCGCCTTCCGCGTGGCCACGGCTGCGGTGAAGCCCACCAGGCAGCACAGGGACGTGGTGCCAAACTTGGCCGTGTCCAGCCAGCTGGGCGTGTCTGCCTTCAGGTACCGCTCGGCCAGGTGCAGGCTCATCACCAGGAACCACAGCAGCGAGGCAAACGCGTCGATTCGCCGGAGCCTGCCACGGGACGAGAAACCAAACAGGACTTCAAACACTGCTGAACACAGCCCTGGTCAGGTCTGTACTGCCTCTGGTACAGCACATCCTGCTGCTGGATGAGTGTCTGAGCAGATCAGCTCCAGCTTTTCATTCACAGTAATTAAGCTTAAATGGAATGAATCAAGGCATGCAGTACTACATGTGCCATTCTGGAGAGTGTTTACCCCTGGATCACCGAGGCAACACAGCACTGGAGAGCCCCACCCAAGCAGCTTGAGTGAGACAGGAGCCCAGCACACCCACCTGATGCGCCCAGCCAGGAACATGGCCAGCAGGCAGGTGAAGAGCCCCAGCACAGCCACTGCCATCTGGTGATTCTTGCCGTAGGCCCAGGCCACGCTCAGGTTCTCCAGCAGGCGCTCCGGGAGCAGGCGGAGCAGCTCCCGCCAGCCGTGCCCTGAGCTGCCACCATCACTGCCACCGTCACTGCCACTGTCACCGCCTGCACGGTGGCTCGTGCCAGTCCTGTTCCACACGGGGCCAGCAGGGCCAGGAGCAGGGACAGCTGTGCTGAGGGAGAAGGGGTCGCCTGACCCGTACAAGGCCATCAGAACCAGGAACGCACAGCTGAGGAAGGCCAGGAACCGCAGAAGGATCACCTGAGCTGGCGTGGTGATGGAAGTGGAAGAGGAGGATGAACACAGGCTCTGCAGAGGAAGGGAGAAACGCCTTGTCAGAAGCTGAATGAACTGCAGCAAGGTTTTGAAACGGTGCTGTATGAAACACTTCCAGATTGTATGCTTTACTGGACTGCTCTGCTCAAGTCCTAAGTCTCTGCACTGGGCTGACACCACATGGGATTATTGTAGACTAGCAAGGAGCAATGGCAGAGACACGAACAGAAGCCAAGTCAGGCAGGGCAGTGAAACAAGGAGAAGGTCATAATTCAATTCCCATTGTTCTTTTTTTTTATTTTTCCCCCTGGTACTCTGTAATTTCCTGCACTGTGCTCATAAATTGGCTTCCCTACCTCCCCTTCTCTGCCTGTCCCATTATTTTCCTTCCACTCTATCATTACATTAGACTTACCTTCTGGCCACTGTGCTGAATGACACCAGCAAGAGGAAAACCTCAAACTAACATTAGAAGCATCTATGGCAACTCTCCTGTGCTCTCCTAAACTGCAGGCACACACCAAGCTCCCAGGGCTAGAGAGCCCAGGCTGCTCCTCCCCTTCCCAGCTGCAGGTGCAGTGGCAGAGCTGTCCCTGCCCCTGTCCCTGCCCTCCCTGGCGTGTCCCCACACACCTGGCTGTAGCTCTTGTCGGTCTCCCGGCGCCTGAAGTGGTGGCTGAGCAGCAGCGCCCGCAGCTGCCGGTTCTGGTGCTTGATGTAATACTCCACTGCAGCCTGGCACGGGCGGCACAGCTTGTAGGTCTGCTCCAGGTGGTGCTTGTACACCTCAATCTCCTCATCGTACTTGCCCTGGACAGGGAACAGCAGGGGAAAACTGGTGAGAAGTGCAGGTGCCTCATCAGCTGTCATGTTTGCCATTGAGAGAAGGGCAAGGCGTGACCCCAGTGCCACAGGGACAGCTCCCTGAATCAAGCTGCAGGCCAGGCATAGAGCCAGCCTCACACAGAGCTGAGCCAGCCTCCATCCTAGAAGAGATGGCAAAGAAGAGCCTTGGAGAAGGCTGCTGTGGCCCAACATTAGGATGTTGAATTTCTGTGCCAAATTCTACTGTCTTTGTTGAGATCTTAGGAACTCCACACAGCTGAGACAAGTAACTAGAATTGCTCTTCCTCTCCTCAAATGAGGGGACACAAAATACCTGTGGCTCCTTCACTTCAGGCTCATCCCTCCCTGGAACAGCCAGCCCTGCTGTCACTGACTGGATAACACAACCCCAGGTCTCTCAGCTGGCACAGGCACTGCAGCTCACTGAATGCTTAAAAAGGGACCAAAGGCTGGCAGTACTTGAGCAACTGGATAGGTCTGGCAAGAGGCAAGGACTAGAAATAAAGCTGAGAAAAGGGCACCAGCCAAAGATATTCTCATTAAGCGCGATCAAATTTCAATCTGTTCTCCAGGAATCACTCTGATTAAACTCATTATAATTACACAAAGCAGACTGGATTAGGCAAGCCAGAGAATGGACACATCACACTACAGCACAGTCTAACCCTAAGGCTTGACCATGGTTGAAGGCCAAGGAATGCAGCACTAAATTCTCTGCTCAGATCTTTAGGGAGCCATAAAACCGTGAAGGAGAAACCCCATTATCCCTCCTCCATGCATATTAAGTAATGGGAAGGCCAAGAAGTTGCTCAGCAGGAAATCCTGTTGCTGTAGCTGCAAAGTCCCTTTGCCCTCCTAAGCACAGATGCCTAAGCAGGGAGATTGTGGCTGCACAGGATTCCTCTCCCAGTTCACTTGTAAATGCAGAGCAGCACAGCCAAGGCCTCGGGAAAACAAAACCTATTAAGGGTTCATGTTAACTAGTGGGCTGCTGTGCCTCTCAGGTCCCATAAACTCAGCCCTGGGAAGAGCTGGAGGTGTAAGATGATCTCAGAAATATCTTGGGCTCAAGCTTCAGTTTCCAGTGCTCATCTAGAACAGGGGAACATTCTGGCTTTGAAGTAGAATTAGGTAAATTCACAACACTAATCACTGAACATCTCTGCACTGGAGTGCCACAGAGTGCTTCTGAAGACTGTTGGAACATCATTACTGAAAAACTGCTCTCCCTCCTGCTTACTAGGCTGCAGCATGGAATAAACAGAGCAGGAATAGCAGATGCATGGATGGCAATGCCTTGGACAAACATTCTCCAATGATGGCAGTCCCTAACGAACACTCACCTCCTCCCTTGGTGAGAATGAAGCCAGCTGTTTGATTTTCATGGTTTGATGGTTGTTGCATTTCTTGCAGAGCAGAATTTGGCTGCTCACCCACTGCTGTGGTTTGGTAGGGTCACAGAAAGTTGGACTGCCCGACACGACGTGGTTAAGGTGTTCCATGTACTGGGCAGGGATGGGCTTGTTGTAGTCTCCATTCTGACAAAAAACAGGGGGAAAAGCAAACATTCAATCATAAAATCACAGCTAGGTTGACAGTAAGATTCCCCTAAGTTCTGTCAGCAGCTCTGCATTTCATTAGCATTCACCTACGTAACAAAATAAATGAGTAAAAAAGAGACAAAATGCTTCAAATCTTCCCCCCATCTCCACTGTCCTGCACACCTATCTCGAGTAGCTGGTGGTGCTGGATTTCAGCTCAAGGCAGGCTTTGCTATTTAACAGAATACAAAACCAGAGGAGAATTGTTCCATACAGTAAAATAAGTATGCTCCAGAGATATGTCAGGGCCACTTTTGCCCTTTAAAGCAAGACAGGAACACTTGTCTCGATCTCTCTAGTCAGCGCACCCCAGCGCAGAGGATTCTCTCTCCAAGCTGAGGTGCTGAGCTCACGGCTGCTGCCAGCTGTGCATTCACTGCCCTGCAGCTGCCCCACGCCACCGAGGCTCCCCTGGCAGTGCCAGCCCTGGTACCTCCTGGAAGCCGTTGTACTGCTCGCAGTTGGGGCAGTCCCAGCAGTTGCGGTTCCCGTAGGGCACCACCGTGTCCTGGTTGCAGAACCAGCAGTTCACCGTCACGTGCGTGGGCTTCTTCCTGGGGGGACAACAAACATCTCAGGCAGGAGCCCTCAGCTCAGCTGATGGAGAGGAAAGCAAGGGGTTTCCAGCAGTGAGATGCAGGAAAACAGCCAATCTTCCCATTCCGTGTGCTTAATGCTATGACTTGGGGTGGTGCTTTTAGCAATGAAAAGCAGAAATAAATTCTGCCTGACAATCATCCCTCTGCTCCAGTACCATGGACATGCCCGAACTTCAATAACAACCTTGTGATTTACCCACTTCACTGTTTTTCATGGCCATATCTGGGGGTCCTCTCCATAATCAGCAGTGCCATTCTATGAGAAGGTGCAGTAGAATTGATGCTTAATACACAGGATTCCAGAAAAAGGAAGTCAGGATCCACGAGAGCGGCCTGTGATGGTGCTCAGAAACCCAGGAAATGGGCATCCCCTGCTTTTATGCACTAGAACTGAAGGGATAAAGACTAATGACCTTGATCCATGAGCCCCTTGTTCTCTAAAGCAATCCTGTTAAAACAACAGCCAATCCAGACAAACAGCTGTGACGTGGCCCCACCAAAGCAGGTTGTGACAGATGTGTGAGCAAAGACCTTCAACAGCCAAACCCCGAGCCTGCCTGCTAGAGAAGCCCTGCATTTGTCTCAAACCTCAGTGCAAGGCCCAAGAGAGGCTCCCTGGCAGCCGAGGCACCACAGCCCAGCTGTCTGGGCTCATCAGGACCAGTCCCAGTCACATTTCCAAGGGAGGGCAGCTGCCCAGGACTGGCTGTGGCAGCTATGCAGACAGATGGACCCAGCTGCCACGGCCCAGCTCCACCAGGGAATAATTGATCTGTGTGGCTCCACTGCAGCAGCAGAGAGGGCCACAGAGCAGGGGAGCAACAACAGCAGCCGAAGTGCTCCCAGCTGAGAGCAACTTCTCCCAGCTCTAGGGAATGTTCTCTGCTGCTGAAACATCTGAGTGCTGCAGAAGTGCTGCCTGGCACCCTGCAGCCAAACAGCCAGGTGGGCCCTTCTCTCCCAGCCATCATCTCTGTGGCTGGATCTCCACAATTAACATTTTTCCCACCCACATTTCCATAGACCATGCCTTGAAACTCTGTTCATAAAACATCAAACCCTCAAGCAATGTCTGAGCCTCCTGTTTAGGCACTAACAATGAGGATATGCTTGAAATGAAGCACTGTAAAGTCAGAATGTACAGAGGATTCCCTGCCAGATGCTGAAAGAAAATGGCTGGAGCTACTAGGATGACAGATTCTCATCTCAAAATAGATGCAAACACCCACACCCCCCTTAAAATGAATATTCCCTGCTCAACTTTCTTCACTGCCAAGGGGGCTCAACTGATCTGAGTTAAAAATATCACTGCTAAAACTAACAGACAAAAAACCCCCCAAACCCACCCAGAGTTTAAAGCAGACAAATCTAGGTTGGTGTCCGAGTTATCCACGAGCTGCTGCTGTCCAAAAGCCAAGCACGTGTCAAAACAGGGAGATGAAGGAAGGACAGCAGCACCTGCTGGATGAGTTCAGTGTCACTGTCACAGGTGCACAGGCTGTGCAAACACAACCCGTAGGTTCAACCAGCAGCACACAAAGCCTGCAGCTCCTGGGGCACAGCTGAACTGCACCCTCTGAGGGAGGTTATTGCCCAGGAACTGCAGGACCTGCCACAATCCCCTCCCCTGGCACCACCGAAACCCCTCAGCCTCTGCCCACCCCAGGCTCTGAATTCCATGACGTGACAGAGGCAACAGCACTAATTTCAAGGGTGACAGAAGTGGAAAGCACAGGTGAAGCAATGAGTAAAGCAGTGGTGCTATAAAGGAAAACCCATCAGTGCCAAACCCTACCTGAGAACTCGCTAATATCAGAGACCAAACCCTCAGAGTACTCGAGGCCTTTCCATCCTTTTCCAAACAGGATTTCATTTCTTGCTCTGGAGGCTCAGGAAGTACTACCAAGGATTAAACAGCACCACTTCATTTGCAATATATGCAAAACAAATGGCTAAGTCCTGGATTATTTAGGATAAAAGGCAATAATACTTCCTTCTGTGAACCTATAATCTGTTGCCATAGAAATAGGTGCAAAAAATCCCAAATTCTCAATCTGGTGGATGCAAAAGAACAAGGGGAGAAAAAGGTTGTTTAGGCAAGAACATGTAGGTAGGGTGCTAATTTTATAGTAATTGGGCAGGACTGAAAAAAAACAAAAAACAAGTTCTGCATTTGGAAAGACTCTCAAATACAGATTTAACTACTCTGGAGCTATATTTACCTTGACTGAATTCAGGCAGCAGCTGAGGGCAGCGAGCTAAAGCACACACTGCTTCCAAAGCCAGAGAGTGCCAACACAAATCGAGCCTTTACCATGTGCTCAATCCCTTACAAATCCAAAGGCAAATCATCCCTGAGGAGTTCATAATCTACCACTGCACTAATCTGAACCAGCTCCACTGGCCAGAGAACCTCCCTGCAAACCAAAACCTGAGCAGCAAGAAGTGATTGAGTTACTTCAGGCACAGAGAGATTCCACTCACAGCTGACGTGCTGTGCTAACTCCCTGTGTAACCTGCACACCCAGCCAGGCTCAGAAAACATTCCCAGGCCTGCACAAACTGTTTTGCAGGTAGAAAATGTTTGCTTAAGACAAAATTGAGGGGAAAATACCTGCAGTAAACTCAGTTATGACATCAACAGCTAAATGTCTGACATTGCTCAGATAATATGACACCCTATTCCTTTGAGAGAAGCTGCTGGATTCTTTATTTTGTTCACAAAAATCAGGCTGCAGCTCTGCAGGTCCCATTGACAAACACTGGCTAGCAACTAGTTTGTCTGTCATGTAACACAAGGAGGAACTTAGGCTCCTTCCCAGCACTCTTCACTTCTCATTTATACACACATTTAAGGTCATGCTGAAGCCCATGCTTCTAATGGATTGCCAGAACAAGTCTACCTTGGTAAGTGCTGGCAATAATAAACTGGATTTGTAAATATTTTTATTTACATCTATTCCCCACCCTCTTTAAGTCAGAAGATGAAAATGTTTACTTTTCTGTAGTATTGAAAGAGACACTGGTGGATGTGCAGCTCTTCGCTGGGTTACCAAGGATTAGAAGAATAGAATTCTCTATTAAAAGTACTTAAAGCAGCAGTCTCATTCTGGCACAACTGGATCACAAAGCAATTATTCAAATGGCTGTGCCGGCACATCTGAACAAAAAGCACACGGGGAAGAGGAGCTGTTTTGCACAGGTCAGTTTTGACCAAGCCACACCTGGTGGCAGCTGGACAGACCAAGAGCTGGCACAGCACTGCTGGCACTCCTGGGTTCAGAGCTCAGCTCCCTGGCAGGGAAGCTCCTGGGTGGCACAGAGCAGCTTGTGCCGATGCCCATCACCCGTCAGGGCAGACCCAATGCTAAACCCCATTTTCCAGTGCAAGAAAAACACATCACAGCTGCCCAGATCCCAGCAGGTGAGCCATAACACGGATGGATTTGCTCAGAAGTAGCAGCTATAGACAAGATTTAGCCACAAGAGCAGATTTCTAGCGCAGTGATGTAAGTTACATTGCAGCCTGTCCTCCCTCAGGAGCCACATTAATGCCCCCTCAGCCAGGAAAAAGGTGCCCAGTGGACTCAGGCAGGGACACCCAGTGATAACCACCCCAGGCTCTGTTCCTATCTGGACATCAAATCTGTTATCTCCTTGGTAAACAAAAAGCAAAGGCAGCACTGTATCTATGTCTCATATCACATCTGTGCCCCTTATTAAGCTGTCCTCCTTGATCACTATCACTGACTAAGATTCGCTAAATCAAGGCAGAATAAGAAATTTGGAAGTATCAGGATAGTAGTGAGAAACACAACATGTAGCTTCAAAGAATTATCAAGGTCACCTGGAAGAATTTACCGGCAGTCTTCAAGGACTTGGGAAGAAATGCTTTCAATTCCGGAGACCTTTTGATGAACTCGAGCAAAACAAACCCACTCTCCTCACTCTAAAGGCATGCTAGCCTCAACTGGGTCAAAGAAATCTTGCCTGCTTCACTGGAATTGCCTTTAGGCCACTTGGATTTCTTGGCTACCCTAAATATGTCAGAGAAAGGCCAAGTCTTGTATATGGACTAATGTCCCATTGATCATTGATACGGTTAAATAAACAGCAAATGCTTTAGAGCAAACCTTAGGCATCACATTGAGGATGCAGGAATATGCTGCTCTTGCAAAGCATTAACGTGAAGTGAACCTTAGCATAGGGAGCCCTTGGGACTGGCTTGTCTCCAGTAGAAGCACTTAATAGATGAGCAGGCTGCAGGGTCTATTGCTGCTACAGAGCCTGAAATCCTTATATTCCACACGTCCCTACATTCCTTTCATGCTATGCTAGATTAGAATCTGTCAAATTAAGCTTTTCTCCTTTCATGAGATCTGAATCATGACATGTCTCCTGATGCTTTTCAAACCTGGCTTTCAATTGCTCTGAATTTGTTCTAAGGGCAGGAAGGTTCTGTGCAATTAAGAAACAAGTAACCAAAGAATTTTGGTCTCTAATCAATAATTTTGACTTGTACAGAATCTCCCCTAGTTCTAGCACTGTGCTAACAGCTTTGATATTTACAAATCTGTTCCCCAGCAACCCATCCTTCACCCCACACCAACCAGCCACAGGAGCAGGATCTTCTCTTTCCCTGCCTCAAAGACGTCGGGCAAGGAGCAGGGGAGAGGCGATGGGCAGCGCTGGGATGCTCGGCCCGGCACACAAAGCCATTCCCGGGCACAGAACGCTTCCAGCCGCGTTCCCCGGCGGTGTTGGGGCAGCGCCGGGATGCTCGGCCCGGCACACAAAGCCATTCCCGGGCTTTTGGGGCGTCTGTGCTTCCAGCCGCTCTCCCCCGCTCGGCCCTGCCCGCACCGCCGCCCGGGGCCGGGCCCTGCCGGGGCTCTCCGGGAGCGGCCCCGCTGCTCTCCCACAGCGGGCGGGCCCGGGCCCCGCGTGGCGCCTTCCCGCCGCCGCGGGCCGCATCCCGCCATGCCATGCCCAGCCTCCCTCCCTCCTCCTCCTACTCCTCCTCCTCCTCCCTTCCTTCCGTCCGTTCTTCCCTCCTTCCCTCCCTCGCTCGCTGCCGTCCCCGCGCCCGCCGGCCGTACCTCCGCGCGATGCGGTAGAGCAGCAGCCCCGCGGCCGCGGCGCAGGCGGTGACGCCCAGCCCGGCTCCGTCCATGCCGGCGCGGCCGCGCTGCCCCGGCGCTGGCGGAGCCGCTTTGTAGGGGCGCGGCCGGCGCCCGGCCCGCCCCTGGGCCCGCGGGGGCGGCGCGTGACTCACGGCGGGGCCGGAGTCGTGCGGCGGGGCCGCCGTGACTCAGCGCCGCAAAGGCCGAGATCGTGGCGGCGGGGGCGGCCCGGGCCCGGCCGGCCGGGGGCGGCCCGGGGAGGTCGTGCCTGGCCCGGCGTGCCTGGCCCGGCGCCCGGCGCGCACCGGGGACAGCGCTTCTCCTAAATTTAGCGCGGCGCTGTCGGTGTGACGGCGGGGACAGGCCCCGTGAAGGGCGGCCGCCACAGCGCGGCACTGCGCGGAGTGTCCTGGGCTGGAAGGGACACAGTTCATCCCCGGCCCTCACAGACACCCCAGAATCCCATTCTGGGCACCCCTGAGTGTCCTGGGCTGGAAGGGGCACAGCCCCGGCCCTCACAGACACCCCAAAATTCCACCCTGGGCATCCCTTGAATATCCTGAGCTGGAAGGGACACAGTCCAGTCCCGGCCCTCACAGACACCCCAAAATCCCTCCCTGGGCATCCCTGGAATTATGTAGCTGTTTTTGTGATTAAAACAAAAGAAAACCTTCTCAGTACAATAAAATTGCTTAGAATTCAGCAATCATGTTTTTTAAAAGGCATAAATGGAAAAGCTCTTCGTAGATAAATATTTGTGCTGGGAGTGAACTCTACTTATACACTTAACTGTGGTCGGGCTCTTCGCTGTTCCATTTCCATCTGTAGAGATTCAACCATGGAAATCAATTCTGCAGAGTAACAGTGAATATTTCATCTTAACGAATTTAAAAGGCACATAATTTTCCCATCTCTCTTCCATTGTTTAGTGCAATTACTTAGGGATTGTGTTATGAGAATGCTAGGGCAGGCAGGAAGAACAGCCCACCCAGTCCTTTGGCACAGGCAGAGCTCCTGCGTGTCCTCCAGGGCTGTGCTATTCTCCCTACACAAGTCCCTCCCTTCCTATCAGCTCTATCTGTACCATCAGCCCAAGCTGAGGCGCATTGTTTAAAAGTGAGTTTCCTCCTTAAAGGAGCGCATGAGGAGCCTGTTGTGCAAGGGGCACAGCCAGAGCACGTGGAACACAATTCCCAGCAAATGCAGGTGTTTGGAGGGATATCGAGGCAGCCACAGGTATTAAAGGGAGGCAGGAAGTCTTACAGTGTAAGGACTGGGCTCAGAAATGCTTCCAGAATGAAATCAACCAACACGAGTGGCTCATCATATTGCAGCAACGGTGTGTGTGTGTGTGTCCTTTTCATTGAACTGTTAATTCATGAACGGAAACAGGCGCAGTCCTGGCAAAGTTGATGGAATCTTTGAGATCACCTCAGATAGCAGTGGTTTCATTACCTTACTGATAATTAAGCTACAAAGGGTCTAGTAATGAAGCCTTTACCTAACTTCCATGGAAATGACTTTCTGCAGAAGATGGAGAAGAGGAAAGAACAGTGAGAAATTCCTTTAGATTGACTTTGACAAGCAGAGGAAGGTTGTTGGTTATTTTTAAATGCAGGTATCGTTTTGGAAAAAGCTACTTCAAATTCTTCCCTCTGGTAATAGGCTTATTCCATACTCAGTGACATCAATGGGATTGCTCACAGAGCATCACCTAAAAATGGTAACTCTTTACAGGGTTTAAGGAATCAAGGGCCAGTGAATTTTAAAAATTCTATTAGAGAGGAAGGAAAAAGGATTTAATTATACTAATTCAGAAACTCTATTATCTCCCAATATAGCTTATTAACCCCTGATCAAATTAAGACTAATTCTGTCTGGATTGGTAGCAAAGCTTAAAGGACAAAACCAAAAATCCTGCAGAATTCCTGATTTCCCATCAGATTTAGGCAAAACAAAATTTTGCTCACTTTCTCTTGCTTTCTCTCTTACCAAATCCCAGACTTCTCAAAAGGCCTGGAGTTCCCTCATTCTCAGAAGACATCAGCAGTCTACACATTTGACTAACGTTTTAGAAGAGAGCTAGTGCACTGGAAGTATAGAGGAATGCTAATTTAGGAAAGAAAATCTCAGAAAATGTTTGAGAGTAGCAGCACAAGTGTCCTAGTTCTCAAAAATAGAAACACTGTTTTACAGTTTTATCTCCTATACAGAGTCTGAAGCTTCTGCTGCTCATCATCTCCATAAAAAAAAAAAGCCATGTCAATTTTTACTCAACTGTTTCCTATTTTAGCTTAGGAGGAACGTGAGAAGTTATTTCCAGGACATAATAGAAATCAGTTATTTTTTGCAGTTTTGCCTCATAATGAGGTACACACACACTCTGCTCTCTCTGCACTAAGCTCCTACATCACACTGATGTCAAACCTGACCTCTAGTACCAGTCATCAGCTGGGCTCTATGGAACAAATAGCAAGGCTGGAATCCAGTTTTCAGCCCATCCCATTTGTGCCACCAAACCCCACCTGAAGCTCCAGCTGCTCAAAGGCTCCCACTCCCCCAGGCTGTCTCCCATCTCTGCTGGGAGCAGTCCCTGCACTCAGAGCTGCCCACAGCTCTGGTTCCACTCCAGGCTCAGCAGCTGCTCACACCACGAGCAGCTCGTTGTTGTCACTGCAGGGAAGGCCAAAGCTGGGCTCAGATGCTGCAGGGTTTGTCTCAGCTGCCAAAGCAAATGGCACTAATGAACAGCAGGCAGAGTGAGGCCAAAGCAAAACCCCTGCCTACATGAGAGTTGTAAAATGTTATCCTGCACCATCACTAGTAATTCATGTGCCACACTTTAGTCACAAGGTGCTGCTGCAATACAAGGGGGGGAGACTTAAAATGAAAGCATAATCCAATGTTTCTGAAAGAACTAATCTCAAGTATGCAGGATATTTGATTTATAAGTGAAAGGTAAGAATTGTATCATGAGAACTGTTGAAAATCTTTCTCTCATGGAACTCTCACAAGGCAGCCAGGCCACAGTCACTGACTGTCCTTGTGCTCTCAGGCCTGCACCAAAGCCAGGTCTAAAAGCCAGGACAGATCTGTTCATCCCCACTACCATAGCCATGTATCCCCAATGCACAGGGGACACAGAACTGTAATTGTATTCTTGCTAAAAGCCTCCCACCATCATATTGCCAGTGCAAGTGGCTTTTCTAAGAGATGCTGGTGTGCACAGTTCATACCCTCAAAACAGAGGAACACCCCAGGGTGTTCACAGTGAACGATGCAGAACGATGCACCCTGAAAAAAAACCAGAATTACTCAAACTTATTTGGGTACTTAGGCTATTACAGTGCTCAAAAGCAATATGATCCAGTTGTAAGAAGGCAGTTTCAAATGTCCAAGCCAGTTCTCCTGTTTTAATACAGTTTTAATGAACATCAGTCCAAGAGATCACTTGATAGTATGAGGTACATTCCTTGACCACATATGGCTGTGCTTAAGGAAAAGGACAAACATATAATTAAATTAAATACTGTCATTTAATTTAGTAGTAGTTTAATTATCAAGTTAAAAAAATTATAATTAACTATTAACATTAATGACTTGAGACCTTTTAGAAAGCATGAGTCCAAAAGGAAATATCCACAGATGGTCACAGACTTGTAGTGTTTCCACCAGCACTGCCACCTGCAACAGTCTCTTAAAGGACTATTTGTTCAGTAAAGAAATTGGTCTTCAGTCTGTAACAGGAACCTTGGCTCCGCTACTTTGCGTGGTCTTCCAAGAGGTACACAATCAGCTCGTAGGTGGACAGGACAATGGCTGTGTTTGGGATCTGCCTGATGAGCTGGGCAAAGAGTCCTCTGTAGAAGGCCAGGTAGCCCTCCTCCCGTGCCACCAGCCGTGCTGTCTGCAGGAAAGCCTTGTACTTGGTGCCCTCCTCCCGCAGGCGCGTCCGGATCACCTCTGCACACAGAACACAGCCCACAGTCACCCAGAGAAACCTGCCAGCACAGGCAGAGCTCCTGTGGGCAAACCCCAGGGACAGGGAGACAGGGAAACCTCTGCACCAGCTGGCACAGCCAGCCAGGGAACCCTGGGCACACTGCCCTCCAGGCAGGAGGGAGTTAAAGGGGAGTTCACCAGGGAACCCTGGGGACACTGCCCTTCAGGCAGGAGGGAGTTAAAGGGGAGTTCACCAGGGAACCTGGGCACACTGCCCTCCAGGCAGGAGGGAGTTAAAGGGGAGTTCACCAGGGAACCTGGGCACACTGCCCTCCAGGCAGGAGGGAGTTAAAGGGGAGTTCACCAGGGAACCCTGGGCACACTGCCCTCCAGGCAGGAGGGAGAGTTAGAGAGGAGTTCACCAGGGAACCCTGGGCACACTGCCCTCCAGGCAGGAGGGAGTTAAAGGGGAGTTCACCAGGGAACCCTGGGCACACTGCCCTCCAGGCAGGAGGGAGTTAAAGGGGAGTTCACCAGGGAACCCTGGGCACACTGCCCTCCAGGCAGGAGGGAGTTAAAGGGGAGTTCACCAGGGAACCCTGGGCACACCACCCTCCAGGCAGGAGGGAGTTAAAGGGGAGTTCACCAGGGAACCTGGACATACCACCCTCCAGGCAGGAGGGACAGTTAGAGAGCAGTTCTCTTTCATGTGGAATAAATGAATGATTGGGTCATTGAAGCTAATACAGCTCTAAATGCTTTACTGATGCTCACATAATCAATATTGCTCCTTCTACACAACCATGTCATTCACATCTATCCAAATAGACTAACACTGTTCAGTGCCCAAGTGCTTCCCACAGCCTGACCACAGAATCCCAGAGGCTGTGGGTACTTACCCAGCTGAGGCTACTAGTGAGAACAGAAACATTAGGCAATCAGTTTTTGGTGGCTTTTGAGTTGCTTTTGAACCAGCAAGTCCCAATCACCAAGCACATGTCTCACTGGAACAGTGGGACCAGCACTGAAAATGCCAGTGCAGAAGCCACAGTAACATGGATTTGGCCCTTCAAACAGCCAAGGGTTTTACAGCCCTAGACCCTGCATT